TTCAGTCCTGGCCACTCTGTCACAACCACGTCAAGAAGAGAACGGCCCCTAGTTTGCCACACCAGCACTTGCACCAGGAGGTTGTCCTCAACACTCTCCAAAAACTTCCTGGATTGCCTGTGCACTACTGTATTGCCCTCCCACCACATGTCAGGGTGATTGAAGTCCCCCATGAGAACCAGAGCCTGTGATTGGAAAACTTCCACTAGCTGTTTGAAGAAGGCTTAGCTTCATCCACCACTTTCTCCTGATCTGGTGGTCTATAGCAGACACCCCCACCATGACATCACCCTTGTTGTTTTCTCCTCTGACCCTAACCTAGAGACTTTTGACAGGCCTATCTCCAGTTTCATACTGGAACTCTGAGCAATCATATGGTTCTTTTACATAAAGTGCAACTCCTCTTCTTCCATGCCTGTCCTGCCTCGAGAGTTTTTACCCATCCATGACAGTGCTGCAGTCATGTGAACTATCCCACCAAGTCCCTGTTATTCCAATCACACCATAGTTCCATGACTGTGTGAGGACTTCCAGTTTTCCTGCTTGCTTCCCAGTCTTTGTGTATTCATGTACAGGCACCTAAGGTAACTAGTCAATTGCCCTGTGTTGTCGGTAGGTATTATATGGCTTTGGCACCTTCTTGGCTGGCGCCTTCCTCCTCAGTGACATCAGGGTGGGACCACACCTTCGGGCCATCTAGATGGTTCTGAGGCAGTGCCGCTACTCTTCTGCCATGACTTTGATGTTGATGGATGGGGAGGCAGTTCCTGTTGGTGGGCCCAGCGGCGTCACTGACCTGGATCTTTCTTCATGCGACTCCAAACCTCCCCTTTACCCCACCCTTACCACATCCATGGCCTGGAGGGTCCAGACTCCTTGGACCTTTTCCCCAGGATGATCTCTCTTCATCCCTCCCTCCCCACCCCCCACCCCCCGAGGCCTGCCCTGAGCGGGGTAGGGTGTCCAGTCCTCAAAATCTCCACGGGGCTGGTCCTTAATTTTCAGGCCAGCCCTCAGACCAACTAAACATGCCCCAGTCTGGGGTAACAATAATTTCACAAGGCCCTTCACTCCCTGTGAAGGCACCAGTTGCCTGTCATCAAAATATAGGGGACTCTGGTTTCCCAGACCCTTTTGCCCCCCTGAGGAGCAGGGAAGACTCGACATAGAATTCCTCTGCTTACTCTCCTCAAAAGGGGTAGTGGGGGGCTACCAACTTTGGGAGCTAATCACTCCTGCACCCACCACCGCGTGTTAGTCATGCCTTCCCTGCCACATGCTGGACCAGCTGCTGCTCGGCTCTCTTTCCTTGTCCAGCTACCTGCCAAGTCTTGGTATCACTCACCGCCCTTCCCCACCAAGGTTCCTGGCCGCTCCTGCAGGGCTTGACCTTCTCCCACGACAGTGGGGACCACCTCCATCTCCCTACCATGCCTACTGTGCCTCCATTCCCACACCCTGGTTTCTCAGGAAGAATGGGAACACCTCCCTTGCTGCCCCCTCCTGCTTGCCCTTCCTGCAGGTCACCCACTTCCTCTCTTTCCTCAGTGCTTTGGTCTCCATCCCCTGGTGAACCTAGTTTAAAGCCCTCCTCACTAGATTAGCAAGCCTGTCTGTGAAGATGCTCTCCCCTTTCTTTGTCAAGTGGATCCCAGCAATCCTTTTTCTTGGAAGAACATGCCATGGTCAAAGAAGCCAAAGCCTTGATGGCAGCACCACCTGTGCAGCCAGGTGTTGATCTGCAAGATACACCTGCTCCTGCCCAAGCCCTTTCCAATTATCAAAAGGATCGACAAGTACACAACCTGAATCCCAGACCCCCTCACCCTAAGCCCTAAGCCCTGTAGTCACTTTTGATATGCTCCAGCTCACCTTTTACCTGAGGAAGCAACCTATGGGATTTCACAGGAGCTACCTTGCCACAGTTAGTTTCCCCACTTCTAGCTAAGCCCAGTACTGTGTTATTCAAGGCCTTGTCCCGGACCAGTCAAGATGTTGTCTCAAAATCTACAGGCGTCTCTGACAACTTCTTCTCTGAAAACTGGTTCAAAACCTGGTAATCCCTTTATCTCACAGATCTTTTCTTGGCCTTTCCCCTTGAATCTGGACCACTGAGACTCTTTTAAGAGTTTGGTCTCCTGATCTCTCTCACTCCCTTGTCCTTGTTCCAGGGTTTCCCTTGCCCCTATAGGACCTCTTCCAGATTCCCTCTTGGATTTGGCCAGTACTTCCACTCTGCCAGCAGAGACTTTCTCTTTCTGCCCAATCCAATTGTACCAGGTAGTTGTATATCCCTGCTTTCCTGGATGCTTACTTGTGACTTCTTGCCTGCCTATGCCCTTCTACAAGATCAACAACCTTCCCCCAAGTAGTGTAGCTTTTGCATCAATCAGTGCTACTCACTGTACTTATGGGGAGAAGCAAGCAGCATTCTTTTTCAACTGACATTTTGCAGCCACTAGTTATGCGTTACCACGAACCTCATCACCATTCTCTCAGACTTTCGGTTTCCCTATTCCTAACCTTCCTAGGGTGCTGAGTGTCAAGAAACTGTCTACTTGCTGCCCAGACAAGCCTCATCTGACCCTTATAGCTTCATTGGGACCGGCCAAATCATGGGAGTGCATATAAACAGTAGCACTTGCAGTGCTTTGTAGGCTTTCATCAAGCTAGGCTCCCCTTTGTCTTGTCCCAGTGTTCCTGATTCCTGGTCTGTTCCATGATCCTTGGTTCCCTGTTTTCCCTGCTTGTATCTGCCTGAACCATTTCCCTGCCTGCATCCTCGGTCTTCTTCCTGCCTGCTTCCTCTGCCTTGAACCTTCATCTCTAGACTAATTTGTGACCCCTCGGCTTTGGACTCCCAGCTTGGGACCCTTCATCTTTGGACTCCTGCTTTGTTATCATGTATAGCACTGTGCTTCCAACCCCTCCCAAACCCTCTTTTCCAGGTTGCATGCATGACACTGAGTGTCCTGGATAAAGTGGCCAGACTACATCCATCATACACAGGGGTGCAGAAGGCTGACAGCTTCACAGGTGTGTTTTACACTGGGAGTGATTAGACTTGAAGTGTTTTCTGCCATATAAATGATCCAGAAGATTGGAACATGCATACTACCATATTAAGAGTTACAGGGAGGGCCAATAGTGTTACTTTGGTTTGTTAACAAGGATGCTTTCCATTTCCTACTGTAAGATGTTGTTTTCAGATGCCTAAAAGTTGTACAAATTTACCATTTGGCATGAATGGCTCATAGGAAAAATGTTAATTGAGGCAAGAAGTCTGAAGAGACAGGAGCTGGACAAGGATGTTGGACTGGGTTAGATGGACAGCAAATTTGGACTGGTTGGGCAAGAAGACTGACTGAGTACCACATAATAGCAACTGTTATTGCTTCATAGTTTCATAGTTTCTAGGGTCGGAAGAGACCTGAG